ACAATCCAACATAGTATATATACAACAATACAAAACAATGTAGTTAACCAGCTAATATGAAAAACAAACTTCTAAGACATGTAATAAATTATTGTTGCGGTGGAAATAGGATATCAAACTATTAATTAGTTTGAATCACAATTCTTAATTCATAAACGCTCTTTGATTTATCCGAAGGAAAAGGTCAAAAGAGGGAAAACCTATTTTTGCATCGTAAACACAATGCGGGGAGAGACCTAGGTAAGGGGTTGGTTAAGTTTAGGGAAGATACTAGCACCCTAAACTTCTGTAGTACTCTACAAGAACCTTTTGTTTATTGTATACCTTTTTACTTTTATTATTTACTTAAAGTATATATTGCTAAGGGTTAGAGTGACAAAGAGACCTAAGGGTTAGTCCTAAGTTTACTCGGCAAAATTCGCATCTTGTGCCTACGTATCCTGGATAGGGAATAGAATCAGAGTAATCGTAGTTCCTCTCAAAAGGGAGGTTAGAAACTTCTTGACTGTGGTCAAGGTTTCAACGGGGAGTAAACGTATCTTAAGGACACGCTTACGTGGAGTCTTGAAACTCCTATCTCTATGTTGAAATTGTTAATTGAAATTAGGGTTAAGAGGTATTCCACGGCGGGAAACCCTAAAATAGAGTACGACGACTCTTTGACCTAAAGTTAGGGTAAAGGACATTTTCGTCCACGGCGGGACACCTAGGCTATTAGGGTTTTGAAATGGTCAAAGGTTAGGGTTATTGACTCGGCGGTCAAATAGCTAGACCTAATCCTTCAGAAGGGATTCTAACGGCAAATCGTGCAAGATATAGCAAATTATTATACGACAAAAATAAAGTACGAAAAATAATGAAAGCGGTAAAGAAAGCATCGCGATGATCACTCGCGTAAATTACAAATCCCCAAAATTCAAAAAATAAAAATAACCGTGATCATGGCCTTGCATAAATTACATCCATGAAAAAACTACGGAAACTAAAAGGATTACTAGTCAAAGCCAAACGAGACACGATGAAAGCTAGATGAACAGTTAACAGGAACGGTTATGAGATTTTTATTTTTTTAAAATTTTTATTTAAAAATAATTAATTAAAATTTATTAAAAACTTTAATTTAAATTAAAAATCTAAATATTTTTTTTAATTACAGTTAACTATAAAAAAATGTTACTAACTATTAATTATATAAAAAAAAGAATTACTAACTATAAGTTTAAAAAAAAGAATTACTAACTATAAGTTTAAAAAAAGATATTTTTAATTAATAGTTATTTTAAAAAAATAAAGTAATTATTAGTTTTTCCAAATAATAAAAACGGGAGGATGATATTCATGGAGACAACTTCTAGATTTTGTTCCAAATCCCTCTTCTTCTTCCTAAACGGCGGCGGCTCCCACGACCATTGGCGATTTTCGAAGCCTATCCCTTCCTTCTTCTTTGCCTGTTATCCCTCCCTCTTTGTCTTGCTGAAACCTGAAAAATAAAACCTAGGAATTCCGTTATTTACAAAATTAAATGCTCACCTTGTTAGCGGTTGAGATTTGTTGATGATGATGCTTAATGAAGGAAGGTGATGATGATTCTTGTTGATCTTCTGAACCTTCTCTTCTTCAAAACTCTTACTCAGCTCTTTCGGTCTCTTTTCCTTTTCTTCTTCCTTCCCCTTTTCTCAAATGCAACTCATGTTTATATAGGTACTAGCACCCTAATTAGTTTGAATCACAATTCTTAATTCACAATCGCTCTTTGATTTATCCGAAGGAAAAGGTCAAAAGAGGGAAAACTTATTTTTGCATCATAAACACAATGCGGGGAGAGACCTAGGTAAGGGGTTGGTTAAGTTTAGGGAAGGTATACTAGCACCCTAAACTTCTGTAGTAATCTACAGGAACCTTTTGTTTATTGTATGCATTTTTACTTTTATTATTTACTTAAAGTATATATTGCTAAGCGTTAGAGTGACAAAGAGACCTAAGGGTTAGTCCTAAGTTTACTCGGCAAGATTCGCATCTTGTGCCTACGTATCCTGGATAGGGAATAAAATCAGAGTAATCGTAGTTTCTCTTGAAAGGGAGGTTAGAAACTTCTTGACTGTGGTCAAGGTTTCAATGGGGAGTAAACGTATCTTAAGGACACGCTTACGTGGAGTCTTGAAACTCCTATCTCTATGTTGAAATTGTTAATTGAAATTAGGGTTAAGAGGTATTCCACGGCGGAAAACCCTAAAATAGAGTACGGCGACTCTTTGACCTAAAGTTAGGGTAAAAGGCATTTTCGTCCACGGCGGGACACCTAGGCTATTAGGGTTTTGAAATGGTCAAAGGTTAGGGTTATTGACTCGGCGGTCAAATAGCTAGACCTAATCCTTCAGAAGGGATTCTAACGGCAAATCATGCAAGATATAGCAAATTATTATACGACAGAAATAAAGTACGGAAAATAATGAAAGCGGTAAAGAAAGCATCGCGATGATCACTCGCGTAAATTACAAATCCTCAAAATGCAAAAAATAAAAAGAACCGCGATCATGACCTCGCATAAATTACATCCATGAAAAAACTACGGAAACTAAAAGGATTACTAGTCGAAGCCAAACGAGAGACGATGAAAGTTAGATGAACAGTTAACAGGAACGGTTAGGAGATTTTTATTTTTTTTGAATTTTTATTTAAAAACAATTTATTACAATTTATTAAAAACTTTAATTTAAATTAGAAATCTAAATATTTTTTTTAATTACAATTAACTATAAAAAAATGTTACTAACTATTAATTATATAAAAAAAAGAATTACTAACTATAAGTTAAAAAAAAATTACTAACTATAAGTTTAAAAAAAGATGTTTTTAATTATTAGTTATTTAAAAAATAAAGTAATTATTAGTTGTTCCAAATAATAAAAAGGGGAGGGCGGTATTCATGGAGACAACTTCTAGATTTTGTTCCAAATCCCTCTTCTTCTTCCTAAACGGCGGCGGCTCCCACGGCCATTGTCGATTTTCGAAGCCTTTCCCTTCCTTCTTCTTTGTCTGTTATCCCTCCCTCTTTGTCTTTCTTAAACCTGAAAAATGAAACCCAGTAATTCCGTTATTTACAAAATTAAATGCTCACCTCGTTAGCGGTTGGGATTTGTTGATGATGATGCTTAATGAAGGAAGGTGATGATGATTCTTGTTGATCTTCTGAACCTTCTCTTCTTCAAAACTCTTCCTCAGCTCTTTCGGTCTCTTTTTCTTTTCTTCTTCCTTCCCCTTTTCTCAAATGCAACTCATGTTTATATAGGTAACAAATTAGGGTTAACTCTAACCTAATACCCACTTTAAAGTCCAACTTAAATAATTAGTCAAAACTAAATAAAATTTAAACAAATTAAAATAAACTTAAAACTCTATTTATTTATACTAAACATTAAAAATATTATAAAAAGAATAAAATTTTTTCAAAGAAACAAAACAAAAAGTGAAGAAGTTGAGATTTGAACTATCAACCTCTCACACTCACAACTCCTTACACATGGTCTCTTGACAATTGTGTTATTTTATTTATTTAAAATAAAGTGGCACTAGAAACCCTGTAAAGATAGGACAAATTTGAGGTACTACAATTATACATTTGATGTAATCGATTACAATACACTATTTGTTTCAAAAAATTTAAAAATTAAAAGGTGGTAATCGTTTACACTCTAAGTATATATCATCCATTACAATACACTATTGTCTCAAAAAACTTAAAAATTGGAGGATGGTAATCAATTACACTCTGAGTGTAATTGATTACAATACACTATTGTCTCAAACAATTAAAAATTGGAGGGTGATAATCCATTACATGTCGATTCTGATTGTTTTTGAATGGATGGTAATCGATTAATCCACAATATCTGAAATTATCACTTTTTCATAACACATTGAAGATGCATGCATGGTGAAAGCTATGTTGTTGTGTTTATCGTTAAAGAACAATAAAAGTTGTAGTTCAAATAAATGTGGTTGCTCTCCCTGTTTTAGGTCATTGAACCTATTAATTTATTCGAAAAACTATACCATCTAGTTTTGAGTAAAGAAGGAGGTTAGCGTACTGGCAAGAAATTTAATGCTTAATTATTTTATTTCGATATACTTATTTAACAGTATTGTTTATGATGCGTAAAATACTTATATCGATTATAAATTCTTAATAATGAAGGTATTATTAAGACTGTATAAGTATAACTGGATCTCTGAAATATAAGAGTTGAAACCCAACAATAATCATATTTCAAGTATTGTGTGACATTGATGACTCACAAACTAAACAATGTGACTCATAAATAAAGCCACGATAGTGGAAAATGACCTACCCTATCCTTTTGATGTAACAAATGTTAACAAATTTAAGCATTAATACAATTTTAATTATTTTTAAAAAGTTGTGTCTGCTTAGAGAAATACCCTGCAGTAGATGTTTCCTTCACGTATACGCCTAACTACTTCTGGTAATTAATCGATGACACTGAACTACCATAGTTGGCTCTTAGATGTAGATGTTGCCATGTTGCTATCTACTTCTATAAGCTTCATTTATTTTCACAACAGTGACACTTCAATTAGATTAGAACATGGACCTTAGTTTCATGTGCATTTGATTTGACCTCAAAAACACTCCAACGAAAAATTGGGATCTAAGTTTAAACTCAAATATTGTGCCAGCCAAAAAACTTAAACCTTCTAAAGTGACTTAATAAATTTCAATTATTTAGGACTTAACAAATACTATAAATATATGTATATGTTTATATGCATGTGGAGCCCACACTATACACAAGACAAATGTTATTACTAAACCCAAAAGCTCCTCTTACCATTTTAATTTACCTATATTTTTATCATACTTTACATGCACCAAACGTAACAAACTCTTCACCTCTCCCACGCTTTTTTCCCACTCCAATATTCTCCAAATCCTTTCATCTCATTCTCACACAAACCACCATTTTCACACAAGCAACATCATGGTAATCAAAGAACATCAACTTAAACTACCAATGATCCTAAATTTGATTCTCATGTTTTTCTACATCACTGTTCCTGTAACCAACGGCGTCGAAACAAGAAAACTTGACGAGACAACAATGCCTACAACAAACGGCACTGATGTAAAGTGTGCACCATCATGTGGTGGCTACGCTCCACCACCGCCTCCGCCTCCACAAAACTGTCCCCCACCACCCTCACCACCACCGCCGTCTCCAAAGAAACCACCCTCACAAAATTGTCCCCCACCACCCTCACCATCCTCCTACATATACATAACCGGACCTCCGGGAAACTTGTACCCCATTGATGAGAATTTCAGCGGAGTTAACTACCGCCATCACCAGAGCCTCGCCGCTGTATTGTTCTCACTCGCGGTTGCTTTTCTCGGCGTGATTAAGATTTAGTTACCATACAAGCTAAGTTGCCTTTCACAGTTTCTATAATTTTATAGTTGATTAAGAGTAAAGAAATTTTACAGAAGGTAACATGAAAATTCTGTATTCAGTGATTAGTATTTTACACGTTATGTTCTGTTTCTGTTCTATGTTATCTAATCAGTAATCACAATTTATTTTTATATTAACAAGTTAAGATTAAAATGCTATGTAATTTTCTCATAGATTAGTCCCAAATTTGATTTCGAAAATGAAATTTTCACGGTCCTCTGTTTTTTTTTCTAAGAGTTTTTTAAGATTTCGATTCTTTAGCTTTGGTTCATTTCATGTGTGGCCAGTCTCTGTCTCTTTGGTTGACCCTATGGATCCTCAACAACACAAGGTTACATCGTTGGCCTTCCCTTTCCCTGAAAACAAGATTGTTAATTTGTAATCTCTTTTGTTTAGAATATTACTTGCACCTAACTAAAACGGTCAGAATCGGAAAAAAAAAAAAAAAAGTTTGAATGAATTAGAAGAACCAAAAATAGATTTATTTGTATTTTATTCTTTGACACTAATAACTTGGTTTAACAAATAGGTAATTATGCTAAAGTGTATATATATATATATATATATATATATATATATATATATATATATATATATATATATATATATATATATATATATATATATATATATATATATATATATATATATATATATATATATATATATATATATATATATATATATATATATATATATATATATATATATATATATATATATATATATATATATATATATATATATATATATATATATATATATATTATGGACCTTTTATCATCCATATCACTAGCATACTTTGATTTAACAAATTCTAAAATTGAATGATCACCCTATTCACTATTAAATATGATATCAAGATCCATTGTGCCCTTTTAGTACTTAAAAATTCACTTGTCTGCTTTTCAATAATGCTTGCTTGGTTTGGATATAAACTTACAATTTTGACTTATAATTTGTGCAAATCTGGTCAAGTGTATACCATAAAATAAATTCAACAAACAATAGTATTGGAATAAGGAACCTTTAATATATAATCAACTTTAACATTCGTCTTTTGACACTTATGCAATGAGAGCTTAAAGATTCGACAATGGAATACTCTTACACTTCGAATTGCTTATGTAAAACTTGTATAACACCTTTTCAACATAAATTTTCTAAAAAATCCATAATTTTCTAGCACCTATATTCTTGTAAATTTTCATACCAAAATTTTTTTTAGCATCATTTAGTTCTTTCATGTCAAACTCCTTTTCCAATATAATTTTTCAATTCACTAACCTCATGTATATATTATTAGAAGCAGTAAACATATCATTAACATATAGTAAGAATAAAAATAAGAGAATCATCATCAAAACTCTTAACATAAACATAACACTCATACTCACACTTTTTTTAGTCAATCTGAAGTATGTATGAATCAAAGTGCTTGTACCATTTTCTTAGAGACTTTGGATAGCTCAATCAAAGTCATTATATATATACACACTATTACAAAAAATACATAGCACAACAGTTAAAAAAAGGGTGCCGCCAGGCTGGTCCAACCGTTGTGAGGTAAGGTGTAATTGTATGTATGATAATTTCCACCATGATCGTGCAACTATGATTGTATCCATGTAGCGCACTATGTAACAGCCCAAATTTCATTAAATAATTAATTGTAGTAATTAATTTATCTAGTGGGATTTTATTAATGTTGGAAATTAATTTTTATTAATTGGGATTAATAGAGAATTGAGAAGGAAAATTGGAAGGAAGGAAAATGAAGGAAATATATATAAGAGAGAAAAGAAAAGAAAGATAGAAAAACATTTGGAAAGAAAGAGGAAAGAAGAAGAAAGGAGAGAAAGAGAAGAGAAGAAGAGGGAAAGTGGAAATCATCAAGAACCAACATCAAAGCTCCGATTAATCGAGGTAAGGGTGAGAAATGTTTCTATTTGATCATTGTATGATGTTATTTATGTTGGGTTGGGGTTTTGGTAGAGTTTTCATCACTTTCCAATTAGGGCAAAAGTTGGAATAATCGGTAGATTGATGATTTAATCGGTTGGAACTTGGAAATAATGTCGTAGAATAGTCGGGTAACATGAGGGTATGATGTTTGTACTGATTTTGTTGTGTGAGAAGTTGGATGATGGTGGATTGTGGAGGAGGAACAGAATAGGGTTCTGTTCTGCGCAGGTTCGCTGGCTCTCGCCAGGCGAGCGAAGGCGAAGCTTCGCCCAGCGAAGGTGCTAGCGAATGTTGGCGAATAATTATATTTAAGTCCCAGTAGACTTCGCTGGTGGGCTCGCCAGGCGAAGTGGGATGGCGAAGGTTCGCCCAGCGAAGGTGCTGGCGAATGGTGGCGAATGAAGTCAGTAGCTACTGACTTGGGCTCGCTGGGAAGTCTCGCCAGGCGAAGCCTAGCGAGTGTTCGCTGAGAGAGTTCGCCAGGCGAAGGCCAGGCGAAGGTTCGCTGCGAGGGTTCGCCAGGCGAATGAAGGCGAATGTGGCAGTATATTTTCTTTGCTGTGTTATCCAAATGGTGAATTGTTTGGTTGATTCGCATATGTTTATACTTCTATGTTATGAATGAGTATGTGAACTATTACGATAACATGTGCTGTGGGTAGCCTTCGGGCGTGAATCCTAGAGTTGTGGATGTTTGATTTGTTGTGCACAATTATGTAATGAGTATGCATGAGAACATTTTGAATATGTGTGCATAACTTATAATTGTATGATTGGTATTGTAATGAGAATACCTTGATTGTTGTGATAATTAGAGACACATGGGAATACAATGAGAAATGTATGTGTATCGTCTAATGAATTGCGAGTGCATATATGTATGCGATTGTGGTGTGAATGCATGGGAACATATGTGATATGTGTGCATTGTTGTTGAATATGATGATGTGTGAAATGAATACATTGATAAATGTTTGATATATGTTGTATGTACAATCATTGTGTAATTCTTGAAGTGATGAATTATGTAAATGCATGAGATTAAGATGTCGGTCTTAAGTGCATTTGTTGTGGTTGATTGTACATGCATCATTTAGTCAAGAGGCAATGTCTGTTAGTTTCGTGGAAACTAGTGGCTTGTCCCAAACCTAGAAGTGTGGGTTTGAAGGCTTAGAGGACGGGCCTTTGTGGTTATCGGTCTAGAAGTGTGGACCCGGTTTAATGTAAAAACCGAAAAAAGATAACGGGTTATCGGTCTAGAAGTGTGGACCCGGTTTAATGTAAAAACCGAAAAAAGATAACGAGAGTCGGTACCGCATTGCATGAGTTGCATTGAGTTGTTGAGTCACATTGATATATGACATATGCATGAAGTGATGCTTATGTGTGGATGATGAGATTGTGGAAATTGTAAGTGTATACATAATGTGGGAATGCTTGTGGATATCCATGTTTGTATATATACATGTGTGGTAATATATATGACTAAGAGAATGAAGTGTGGTGAGAAATGTGAATATGTGTTATATGATTACCTATATATATATAATCTTATGCTTTGATTATTATGGTTATATTTCTCACCCTTCTGCTGTTTTATAATGCTCTATGAGGCATTGCAGATTAGGATGCTGGAGTCCTTTTGTGAAGAATAGTCTTCATTCTTTTGAGTCTACTGCTCTGATATGTAACACCGGGTAGTTAGACTAGTATAGTCATTCTTTTGTGATACATTGCGGTGTATCAGCTGATGTGGTTTTGTAATCTAACTGATATGATATATATTAAATTGGATAGCTTATGTGCACGTGAATTAATATTTGGAACTGATTAAATGATTTTATCTTCCGCTTAAATTGAAGATGTTACATATTTTATGGAGCAAATTGTGAAAGTGTTTTATTGGCGAAATTGTGGCATTCTTCTTTTATACCTGATTATAAAACCTTTTTACTCTGATAACTTGTATGTGCTTAATTGTTTTATATGCATTTATTTGGGGTATAGAAGGGGGTGTTACAATAGTGGTATCAGAGCCGGTCGGTCCGTCCGGCCAAGTTGTTAGAGTGTTTTTCCCTATGTGTTATTGATATGCGTGTGATGCATTATCAATATTGGTTGTTCTTACGTGGTTCTGTTGTTGGAATTAGTAAGATGGTTGCAGGGAGGAACGACGAAGCGATTGCGGAGGCATTGACGAGATTGGCGGGGGCAATTGGGCAGAATCCTCCGGCCAATGTGAATGTGAGGAATCATGCTGATGATGGATTCCGTGCTTTGGGGAAATTCCAAAAGAATAACCCTCCGGTCTTCAAGGGAACTCATGAACCGGACAAGGCACAAATTTGGTTGAAAGCTGTGGAAAAGATTTTTCGAGTTATGAATTGCTCGGATGCACAGAAGGTGCAGTTTGGGACTCATATGCTCGAAGAAGAAGCTGAAGATTGGTGGGGTAATACTCGCCAAAGATTTGAGGAAGATGATATTGTGATTACTTGGGATTTGTTTAGAGAAACCTTTCTGGAGAAGTATTTTCCAGAGGATGTGCGGGGGAAGAAAGAGATCGAATTTCTTGAGTTGAAGCAAGGTAATTTGACGGTTGCTGAGTATGCGGCGAAATTTGAGGAGTTGATCAAATTTTGTCCTCACTATAATACTGGTAATGCTGAGAGGTCTAAGTGCCTCAAGTTTGTGAACGGTTTGAGACCTGAGATTAGACAAGCTATTGGATACCAAGAAATCAGGCGGTTTTCTGAGTTGGTTAACAAGAGCAAAATTTATGACGAAGACAGTAGGGCTAGGTCCAGCCACTACAAGAGTCTAAGTGACAAGAAAGGAAAGGGACAATTCAGAGGAAAACCTTACGTGACTCCTGCTGATAAGGGGAAACAAAAGGTTGGTTTTGGCAAGAAGCCAAGTGGGGGAGTTTCTACCCCGGTTAGGTGTTACACTTGTGGTGAAGCGGGGCATCGTGCCCCGGAGTGCAAAAGTGT